TTTGCCGTCCTTTCAAGGTAAGTTCATTTTGCTAAACAGTCAGAACATTATGGCACGGTGCATTTTCAGCTCCGTGTCGAGCAAGCGCTTGCAGGAGAAACAGATTCTGTGGTTTTATATCGCCTTTCTGCGCTGTTCACTTTTTACTCGGAAAAGATGACGTTGGTTTTTTTACACTTGAATTACGAAAATTAGGGATTACAGCACAAGTTTTAGACCAGAGATCGGTCCAGAGTCCGAACTCTCACGAACAATTGATGAACTAAATCAGCTTACCCTGAATATATTCTACAGTGGTCTCAATGGAGCAGTACAAAAAATCCTGTCAAAGGTAGATTGTTCAGACTATAATCATAGACTGCAAAGCACATGTAGAAGAGGTTTTTCTTAAAGCAAAAAAAAACAACAAAACAGCGGGTTTTTACTCCTCTTTTTTTTTCTAGATGGGCGCACCAGATTACGATCTTCTCCCAGTGCCGGCAGTTCACCAGATTTTGATGCTGTTACGGTATGGAAGTTTACCTTTGACCTTTTTATCCAATACTGCCTTCAGGGATGTACTAGAAACTCATGATGGAGCTATGGCTGGTCGAACAAATTCGGAAGAGGAGTTCAACAAGGTAAAACTTATCCCTTCTTTTCTTTCTGCAGAATGCGGCTTCTGCTTCCCTTTCCAGTTCTGCTGGATGCCTAATAAAATTCTTCTGCATTTCAATACTATTTTTCTTTCTTTATCCATCATCCTTTTTACGTTAAGAACACGAGTTTTTCCAATCGCTTTCTTCTCATTTTTTGAAGGCTCCTTAGTGTGCCATTCGAAAAAAAAGGAATAAAAGAGGGCATGGAGATGGAGAGGGGGGGGGGGGTTCAAATCAGTGTTTTATTGTTTGTTAATCTTGCATATCATGTTTTTTTTTCAGATCTTCAGCTGCGTGCTGGATCCACTCTACAGATCAGTACAAGTAGCCGCTACCCATCTGCATTCACCCCTAGGTAATCTTTGCTTCAAAATGGTATCTCAGGTCTACAAATATCCTTTAGATGTTGCTGTCTATACGCTGAACTGTTTGTCAGCCATACACTCGCTAGTTATTCTTTATCCTTTCACAGATTCACGATTAGAGATGATCAAAGCGCTGGTAAGTTATATCCAGAGAAATATGTTCCTCTGCTGACTGATCTTTTTGATATTTTTCGATGGAAGGCAATGAAGACGTGCTAGTGTCGGAAGAGGCTTCCACAATATTAGCAAACACGGGACTTATCCATTTGTATCAGAAAGCCTCAGCTCATGACAAGAATCAAGTGAGTCAGGAACGGCCACTCACTTCCCTTTTACAGTGTAAAAATCAAATTTGTTCAGGGTCCGCTATCTGCTATTTCTGGGATGGATTCTGCCACTGTAAATAACACGTTGATACAGTTTGACGCTTACTTAGCGCAGCCAGACAAGTATCAGCTTGACCAAGTTGCGAAGATAAGCAGTGCTCGAACTAGGTATTAAATGAAGATGTTTGTTCTTCGATCGAAAATCTTCGTCTTAACTGAACAGACTCCAATTTCAGGGAAAGCGTAAAGCAGAGAACCGTGGACAATGTAGTTGCCGCGTACTCGGCTGTTATCAAGAAATTGGAAGATCCCGCGAATGCTTACGAGAATGTTTCTTACAAATCTGTTGATCAGGTGAGTTGAGGGGAAGCATCGGTTTAAACAGTC